GCGACGCAGGGTGGAGGAGAATTTGCACAGCTGCAATCCATGGACACTGCTAGGATCCTACCAAACCATGGCCAGCCAGGTTTTGAGCTACTCCACAGCTCTGTTCCCACCACGAACCCCTCTGCACTCACTCCTCCTGCAGACCCCCTGCCCCGTCAGCCACAGCTCCCCGCCCAGGCTGCTCAGCCAAGGGCTCTGCTGGCTCTTGACCAAGAATAAAATCCACCTTCTGTGCTCAGAGCCGCTCTGCCGTGTCCCATGAAATGACGGGGCTGCCCAAGGGGTGGAGGCCCCACGTCCTGCCATGGTACAGACCTGGTCCTTGCAAACACCACTGTTACTCCTGAGTGAAAGGCGCTGTCTTCTTATTAAACGTACTGAGATTAAAACACTAACTTTAAAACTACATCTAAAAATATCCATTTTCTTCATTTCCCTTTACACAGATCACACACCTACAGGAAGCCCAGCGCTGCTGGCTCCCATGGCCATCTCTTCTTTCAACCACTTTCAGTACTGGTGGGATACAGTGAATGGGATCCCCTTCTAGAGTGTGCTGAAACCCTCCTTGCAAAATACATCGCATTTGTACAAAACTGTTCAAATAAAATGCTCTTCCTTTGGGGATTTAAAATTAGGACACCTGTGTGCGGCTCACACATCCGATATTTTGTTTTCTTTGGTGAACAGAATATACAATTAGGGGAATTCAGCTGCACAGAGTTGAAGATGCTTTAGTTAAAGTCCCCTGAAGGGATTCCTGAAGTGTGGAAGAAAAGCCATCTGCTGACTCCAGTGGAAGTGTCAGCAAGGAAAAAAGTTGTGAGGAATAATATAAACAGTCAGAACTAAAATGGAACTCAGCAACTCTTCAGGAAATCAAAGTCCAGAAAACTCCATGAAAATAAGTCATTCTTACTTAAAAAATAAATGAGAGAGAAAATATAAACAATGCCCACAGATAAATCCAGGCACTGTCATACCTTGCCATTCAAATGCCTCCATGATCGAGTCGTTAGTTTTTTTAATATGGTTAAATATATCTTAAATAATAAAGAGAACAAAAAGGACATGCTAAGAATATTTTATCATAGCTCAAAATCTTGAAATCATCAGGGGTTTATGCATCAGACTTACTTTAATTAATGCTTAGAAGAATAAATATATGTTAGTGGGTTAGTAAAGGAGATAAACACTCCAGCATATTTTTAAGTTATACATTTAGGCAATGATGAAGCCAGCAGACTATCACCGTGCTTAGAGCTCAGTTAGTTATGCGCTCATTGAAGCAACTCTAGCAGGAAGGAGCTCTGCATCACGCAATCTGCACCACTATGAAGGTGTCTGCTAAAGGAAGAAACGGAAACCCCTTCTCTGGAATCATTAAAAGCAGCTGCAGGAGTCACTGATACACGTTCAGTTCCTACCATCACTATGAAACCTGCCTGCAGCAGTTCCTGCCCTGAGGCTATTTCGTGCCATGAGCACTTTAGATCCAACTCAGCAAGCATGTCCCGGGCCAGGAGAGCACTTCCACGTGGGCTCAACCACCTGTGTGTGCCCAACTGCCACCACAGCTGAGGAGGGCACGCGCCTGCTCACACCGACAGCAATGGCAGATGCACGTAGCGGAAAGAAAAAAATCTTCTGCTCCAACAACAAAACCAAGGATGTATCTGATCTTCACATGCAGACTAACCAATGGGCCAGGAGGAGAGGCAGGCTCACCTGGATTGCCCTAAAGCAAATTCTCCTGCAAAGGCTCTGGTCTTTGAGAAGCTCCAGCTTTGTGGGAGCCACAGCAGATGAAGCTGTCGCTTTACCATGGAGGAAAGTACCACATCTGCACAGTTCTGAAGCCAGAGCCAACATACACTGACAACCAGACCTCAGCGTGCTCGTGATACAGCATGAAAGCTGCAGAAACCTTTCAAGCCATTTCCAGTTTGTAACTGTATATGAGACGTGCCTGAACCACGCAGTTCCACCCAGACTCCCCTGCTTATGCGCTGAGGAAAGTGTTTGGTTCAGGCTGGTTCATACCCTGCGGTTATAATGAAAATCTCCAGCTTTTTTCCCAGACACTGATGAAAGAAGTTTGTATGTAGCATAAATATGAATCAATTGCTTTGTTATGTGATCATGTGGCCACCACAAAGTTGAGAGGAGGCTGACTCAGTGTTACCCAGAGAAGCTGTGGATGCCCCACCACTGGAGGTGTCCAAGGCCAGGCTGGACGGGGCTTTCAGCAACCTGATCCAGTGAAAGATGTCCCTGCTCATGGCAGGGGGGTTGGACTAGATGATCTTTAAAGGTCCCTCCCAACCAGTCTGTGCCTCTATGACTCCCACATAACAGCAGCTCTAGCTCTGCTCTATACCTACATCAACTGGAGGGAAAGTCAAATGCCTGTGTGCAGCTGGGAGGAAAGAAACCACCACAGGGGGAAAAACAAAATAATCCAAATTTACAGCACATTTTCAGGCCCCAGTTAAGCGTATTTTAAAGCCCCAGCAAATATCCCTTCATTACACGGAAGCACATTTAAGGACCAAACCATGCTTAAGACGTAGCTGTGCACTCATCAGCAGAAAACAGGCAGGATGCGTGCGGAGGGGAAGCACTTACATCAATGAGGTCGGAGACGTCGTGGATGTAGTATTTACTGACAGCTGCGTTGGTGGCTGCCAGGTTCAGCAGGTAGTCGTTCCTGGCTTTAGTACACTTCAGCTTGTTTTCAGAATATTTGGCTTGCCTCTGAAAAAGCAGAACGGGGTGTCAGAGCACAAACAGGATGCTGCTTTCACAGCTTCTCTTGCTGCAGGGCCCCACAGCACCCTGCAAACTGGGTGTGACATGTTAATTAATAAAATTTGGTATCGGGTATGAAAACAGGCACCCTTGCCAGGACGGAGGAGATCACACCTGAGCATCCCCGGTGCTGTCAGCCAGCGCACAACGAGCGCGTTCTGCTCCCGTGTACCCAGCGCATCCCGAGCACAGCTGCTCCCCTTATCGGAGCATTCGTGGGGGTTTTGGCATCAGTCACAATTAGAGGGCCAAATCTTCCTCTCGTGTGTGCTGACATACATTTGGACTCGCTCCAGATTTATGCAGCTGTATCAAAGCAGAATCTGGCCCAGAGGCCCAAGCTACAAAATTCAGAACAGGACCTGGAATTCCAGGGTCTGTAGGAAAGCAGATGTGCTCGGATCTGGGGCGCTGGCTCGGGCAGATCACTAGTCTTTTAGCACAAAAGATTAACCCTTCAAAGAAGAACACTGCTAGACAATGTCCCAGTGCTGGGTCAACATGCGAGCAAATGTGTCCCAGCTGAGGAAGGCTATTGCTTTTTCTTCAAAATTAACAGAAAAATTACAGTTTTGGAGATCCTGAGATTTGGGGGAATTTGCTGAAGCCAGAATGGAGGTAAATGTTTTGACTAGCAAAGCCACTAAATGCTGCACTTCAACGCCCAGTCTGCAGAGGAAGAAACACTGTTCTGTTCTATATCCAACAGTTTGTTTGCTTGCCACGAGTCCCTGACTGAAGGAACCCTGGGACAGCTTTTGCTCATTGTTAGAAGTGTGGTTTGCGGGCTTTTTTGCTTTGTTTCTTTTTGGTTTGTTTATAAGTCCTGAACAAGCCACAGCCCCCCATAGCAGGGTCCCGTGTCTCGGTCAGGAAGCATGGCCGTGCCAAGCCTGACACACCGGTCACTGTCCTCCTCAGTGTTCAGCGTGGCCTCTTGGGGCTCAACTGGGGAATGGTGAAGCCCCTGGTGAGACCCAGGGGTCCCAGCCCAGGAAGCTGGTGACTGAGCATCTCCCACCACCCACCTCTGCCATGTGCTCTCGGAGCCGTCATTCTCTGAGGCCCCTCCAGCCAATCTCACTCCAGAGCCAGCCTGGAAGGTGTCACCGTGGTCATGTGCGGGTCCACCACCCCCTCCAAGGCTGCATGGCCCCATGTCTCCCATCCCCATTTCTTGCTGAGCAGTGCCAGCTCGTCTTTGGGTCAAATCCTCGCTAGTGGAGCCAAACCCTCCTGCCCTCAGCCTGGCTGCCCCATCCTTCCCTCTCACCCACCTTCTCCTTCATCTTCTCAATCTTCTTGACAGAGCTCCGCCGCTGAGGCCGGTCCTCGTGCCGCAGAAGGTTCACGCTGATGTCCCCTGACTTGTTGAACTGCTTTTCCTCTTGCTTCTCCGCCTCCTTCAGCTTGCTCTCAGCACTGATGCTTTCTGCATGATACATGTGGTAGGTCTTCATCACCTGAGGAAACAGAGATTTGTGAGTTGCCTGTCCCATGAAGCATCAGCACATGAGAAGGTGACAGCGTGGGCAGCGTGAAGCAGCCTGAGTTGTGCCAGGGCTCTTTGAGGCCACTATGGCATTAAGGAGCAACAGGGTGGGAAGGAAAAGCCCACAAAATTAACCCCATCACTAGTCCTACTGTGAAATGGCACTGAGCTGGTGTAAGAACTGTTATCCCCACTGCAGGGACAGGCTGAGACGTGCCTTCAGCACACAACCACATTCAAAGAGCACTGTGCATCCTCCTACAGGGAAATGAGAAACAACTTCCAGAGGTTTGCAGCTGGGATAAGGGTCTCCATGACAAGAGACTGTGAGGAGGCCAAAGTCGACATGAAGTCACTTTTGACCCAACCCCTCTGTTCTTACACTTGAACTTGCTAAGCCAACCCATCAACATCACCCCTGCTCTGCCATCCCAACAGTAGATCCCACCCTGAAGGTGGTGGAGCTGCAATTTCCAAGCAGAAATTGAGTTTGTCTCCTATCACCACTTAATTCTCCTCTTGCTGCCATGGGTAAGCACAGTCAGCGCCAGGGCAGACTGCAGCAACACCTAGTCCTTTAAATTCAAAATTGCCATCGGTGACTCTGCAGAGATGATGCTGATCTACTGCCAGGACAACTCCTGCAGGCAAAACTCCTACCACCGCCTTTCCTTTCAGATTCAAAAGCCCAAAGGGCACATTGTGATCATTTTAATGGAGCTGGCAAGAGGAACACATCTGCTCATCTCTCTTTATGCCTTTAGTCACATTGTCCCCTTTTATCATCTCCCTTCAGGACCTGGATGTTTTATTTCACATTGCCCTGACAAGGCTGGAGATGCCTGACTTCTCGCTGAAGATCAGTCTCACGCAAAGTGCCTGGGCACCACCAGCAACGGCACTGGGACGGGCTCGCCCCGAGGCCCACGAGTTACAAAGGAGCAAGAACCCAGCAAAGCAAAGTACCTTTGCACAAGCCTTAATGAAGAAAACAGAGCTCTCCTCAGCTGCGGCTGTCAGCAGTTTTTTAACTGGGACAAGGTTAGGCTGAAACATATGATCTCTCCTCTTGCCAAGCACAAACATCAGCTGCAATGAGCTCCGAACGCCGCATCGAAGCCTGCTCAAACGTGCCGCTGCCCCGAGTTACACACTTAGGCAACTGCAAGGAATAGTAAGCAAAGGCTTGTGCCCTGTTTCTGAGATGCTTTATTTCAGAATCCTGCACATTCTAACACAGATTCAAGCCACATATTTCCAACTGCAGTTTCTGCAGTGAATGTCACAGGGCACACACAAACCAGACAATTCCTGGGTTCTTCCTAAGGGGAAAGACCAGAGGGCTTCACTGAGCCCTCCTCATCTTCACTGTCTCCATCTTTTTGGGAAAAACTCAGACAAAAGTGAAAAAGAAAAGTCCTGCACTTCAGCACAGTCAGGCAGTAATGAGAGAGGCTTCCCCAGCACCCAGAGAGGCCCTAATGCAACAGAAGAGCCCAACAATTCAACAGTGCTCCAAACAGCAGGACTGTGGTGAAATCTAAAGGTTACCTAACAAAGGTAACCTGTGAGAAGGTTACCTACCAAACAAAACCACCCCAGCACAGTGCATAAGTTGCCCCCGTTCACCCAGGGCTATGCCACCCTGCTGAGACCCCTTCTGCCTCCCATGGCTCCTGCGGCTGCGAGGGGAATGTTGGCGGCTGGAGCACAAGGCTCAGCTCACCGCACATTGCTCTGCAGCGGGGGTCCAAGCCCCACCGCTGCCCGGCACCTTTGCACAGCCTCTTACTGACTTATTTGCGAATGACCAGAGAAACTTTCCCTAATGAAGTATATTTTTCCTCCTCTGTAATTTATCCCTGCTTGAACCTGGGAAGCAGGTTTAAAACTTCTCTAAAAGCCTCTTCAACAAAGCACAAAGGACCTAACATCATCACGTTAAAATATTTTCCCCCGACTTCAGCATCCATGTTACTGAAATAGTTGCCCTAAGCAGCTCGCTGTGTCAACTGCGTTCCTCATCAGCTGCCATGCAGCCCAGCTCGTGCTTGGAAATTCAGGGAATACTTCTGTTTGTTTTAATATCTTCTTTAATTTTGAATGGGGACTACCTGCACTGCAGCAATCAGCCCTTTGATCCGCAATTCCCTCGTGCTGGCTCAGTGCTTGCAATCAAGTCACGCTGTCCCTGTCTTATGCTATTGTGTCATGAAGAAAAACTGCCACAGCTGTGTCCCTGGGATCTTTTCTGCAAATAAGTTAATTAGATGCAGTGGAGGGAGAAAAATATGCTCCGATGTTCATTAGCTATTTAACAACACAAGTTGTGTTTTCCAGTATTAATAACACGTTCTGTATAACGGCCATTACCAAAATATTGGCCATAAATGGCACTGTTTGCTGTCTTCAGCTAGAAGTGCTTTATATTTCTAAACAGCTCATCACTGAGGTTCTGACCCAGCAGAGGAGCCAGACCACAAACCAAGTGACCTGTGTTAATCCCAGGCTCAGGCCCCCCTGAAGTTGAGGAGACCATAACACAAGCCCAGCGCATAGGAGAGGCAGCGGTGAGCATGGCCGCGGGAGAAAGCTGCCGAGACCCCAGCCCACTCCTCTTTGGATGGAGCCTCTGGCACAAGGACACCCACGGTGACAGGTCTGAGAAAGGGACAAATCCATCAGACTGACAGACACTGACCTCCATCTCCCTGGTCTTTGAAGAAAGCATGAAAGCAAACATGTTATTTTCAGAGGATTTCTATGGTGTGATGTGGAGCAACCTATCAACACATTTCCACTGTGTGATGCACTCAACAACCTCTACAACGTGACACTTGCAGAAAACACCCGCTAACCACAGAGGCACGGCCTCCCCCATCACAGCCCTCCTGATGGAAAGGGACATTTCCTCCAGCCAGTTCACATCCTGCTACACCGGGAACGAAGACCAGTAGTATTTTTAACCTAGGTAATGTATCTGTAGATATTACTTTAATTAATACAATTCATTTCATTCTTATTAATCTTCTTCCACACCACCCTGTGACAAAGAATCGCAGTGGTTCACATCACAGTGCTTTTCTGGTCTTCAACGCACTGCCTTCAGCTATAGCCATGTCCCTGCACTGGACATCCCACACATCCAACAGGACATCGTTAGTGCCACGCACCAAGTCACACCTCCCTGCTGGGGCTTACAGAGAACACTACCAGGGTGCTGCTCTGGGGTTACTGCTTTTCTTACCCTAATCTTGGCCTGATTTCTCCAGCTAGGAATGCAGACTATACAGAAAGGGATCTGCGAGCAGAGGAACAAAGAACCTCCGACCTTTACGGACTCCAACTTGACATCGGTCTGCTGCAGTCTGTAAGCAGGCATAGAAAGAGTGAAGCTTGCTTTAACTCACAGCTAGATTATTTCTGTGTAAAACTGTTCATAAGCAACTCCTGCTTCAGAATGAAAGTCATCTACTTCCTTTTTAATTAAAATTAGTGTGGTTTTTTGATTTAGTTCTTTCCACACAGAGGGTGACTTGCATCAGAACAGCAACAAGGCTGAATTAAAATCAATTTAGTTATTTTGGCTTAAGTTTGAGACAGTGAATGCCTGAGAAGCCTGTAAAAAATTATATCTTTTCCACACAGTGCACAGAATTCCCCTCTGGAAGGCGCAGAAAGCAGCCTAGCCAGGGCACAGACGTGCTGCGGATCCAAGGCCTGGCCACAGGCAAGATAAACAACTTCCTCGCGCTGACAGCAGCCAAATGACATTCTCCAAGAAGCAGCTTGGTGTCCTTTGAGCCAGTGGTCTCTATTCTGTATCTGGTTCCCTCAGCAGCCAGGGTTACTCAATGTGCTGCTCCCGGGTACCCGACGTGTTGCAATGAACACGCCGGCATCAGGCGAGCCCTGAAGATGTCCCAGACCACCACCAGCACGTGGGATCCACCTGCAAGCCAAGGCTACCACTGAGCCTGTTTTACCTGATGTCTCAAGGAGCACTGACGGGAGGCGAGCTGGTCTGCACTGAACAGACTGAAGATGATCTTGTTTGCCCAACAGGGTCTGCTTTTTCTTCATGTTTCATCGCCATTTCTGAAATAAGCGTGTCTCTTCCCTGCTCCCTCCCAGCCAGATGACACAGTCAGTTTGTTATCTTAGCAGCAAGGTCAGTTCACAGAAAACACAAAGCTCTTCCAGCCCTTCCAGTCTGTTTCACCATTCAAACACATTCTGCTCAGCATGTGGGAGCAAAGCAGTGAACAGGGGGAAATCTCAGCTCCAGTGAAGATGAGTTTTGCCGCAGATTCAACGGGAACAAGATTCCTCTCTGCTCTTCCTGGGCCAACTGCATGTGCTTCAGATCTCTGCACGCTTGTGATCCTCAAACTGACCTAACCACGTCCCTCAGGTGATGCTCCCGTCCCCTGTCTGGGTTCTGAGCACACTGGTCCACAGGTATTAAGGTTGGCCCAGCCCTCATTAGTCTTTCCTTGTTTTGCATCTGTCATGCTGCTGCTGTAATTAATCTTAATTAGTCACCATCACTAACACAGTTTGTGACATCAGCCATCCACAGTACACTCCCAAATCTCACACAGGCTTTTTAATCCACTCTGGCTGTCTACCCACACTGCAGGTCTCGCAAAAAATCACATCCTTCAACAATCAATGCAGAAACAAACCTGTTCATAGGAGGTTTATGGCAGAAATTTCAAACAATATCATTCATGCTGGTTTTTAGGCCTATTTTTCAAAAAGGCACAATAAAATGATTGTTTAGGAATAAACCTACTGCACTGTTATTTATGTACCAGTAACAGATACAACCGAAGACAGCAAATATATCGTCACAATTTTCCAACACAAGACAGACTTTATACTGCTCTGCTGATCCTAAACCACAAATAAAAAAGAAAAAAAACAATTGCTACAGGACAAGAGATAGGAGCAACACAAATAGTTTTACTGCCCTACTATGAAAACCTGCTTGAAGAGCAATGTCCTGAATAACAGCGTATGATTTCACCTGGAGGCACAGAGACAGCTCTGCAACCAAAGAGCTCCTTGGAGCAGGGAGATGAAGCTGAGCACGCACAAGCCAGAAGTTTTATGCATTGCCCAGCACAAGGCCACGTTCAGCCACCACCCACAGGCCACCAGCCGTACGCGAGCAGGTCAGGTTCCAGCCATAAATTAGCACTGATAACTCAGAGCACAACGTCTGCACCCGGCAGAAACCACTGGCCAAGTGAACAACTGAAAGGGGCCCAAAGGCAACCCGGTGTAGAAGGCCCATCAGGTGAGAGCATTACAGACACCAGGGATCACACCAGATCATGCCCAAAACATCTCCATTTATGCTTAAGTGAAGCAGTTAGATGGCATGATCCGCTGCCGCAGAGCCCTTCACTGCAGGACCACTGGGAAATCCTCCTCTGCTGCCGTCAAAACCAGTGAAGAGTGAAACGTTCCTAACAAATGCAAGAGGAAGGAACGGGCTGGATGGCAGGAGGGAGAGGGAGCCTCCTCAAGACACTGAAATGTTCAGACATTTTGTTCTAACGAATGACATTGCCTACATTCCCCTCGCTGCACAGGCTAGACATGGGCAGGACCAGCTCATTACTCACCGTGTAAAGCTCGTTGGTGACTTTCAGGAGTTCTTCATGCATCTGCAAGCCAATCTCCTTACTCTGGAAGACAAAAAAAAAAAAGAGTTGAGACTCTGTTATGCTCATAACATGCATTTCTGAGAGGAAAACACATTTTGGAGGGAAGAGTAAAACTAGCTACCAAATAATCCACGCATGTGCATCTTAATCCTTTTCCCCAAGGCACGTTCACAAGAGCTGTCTGCACATGCTGTGGAGAGCACCGTGACAGCGCTACCCGGCCAGAAGCACGTCCTCAGCTGTGCTCAGCAGCAGAATGTGTTGCCCCCAAGGCTCTGCTGATGCTCAGCCCTCGCTCTGAGCACTCCCAGTACGCCACGGCTCCAGAGGACCTCCTGCCACTTGACAGGCATCAGACTCTGAAGATGGACAGGAGGCGTGGAAAGGCAGAATCAGATCCCTACAAACACCCAATTCAGAGCTGGGAAGAAGAAATGAGGTGATGGGTTTTTTCTCAGCTAGGTGGTCAAAGGTACGCTGAGGGTCTGCGATGCTGCCAGAGTACCAGTCCAGGACACCACGGCACCAGCAGAAGGAACAAGAGCCTAGGGACACTGGTGACCTGGTAGGACAGGGAAGCAGTGAGTTGTTTTTCTCTTTTCTTAAACCAAGTGACCAACCTGATCCTGACAAAGCCAGGAGTACTTGTTCCCAACCCTTCCACTCCGTGCCCAAGCAGATCCTGTTAATCCCCAGCAAAGGCTTTTACACCCATCCCATAGAGAACAAAACCACAGCAGCTTCTCTGCTGCCTGTAGGGTTTTTCTTTCCTCCTTTCAGCTGAGGATGGAGTGGGTGGACCCTGGCAGCACAACTGGCTTCTGGTAATGCCTGCCTTAAACACCTTCTGCCCCTCAGAGATCTGCCCTCCCCGGGCTCCCCTGCCAAACACGAGGCTTGCCATTCTTTGCTCTGCAGTGGAGTTAACAAAACCACGCACATTTTAATTTTTAATATTATTTTAAAAAACACAAGAGCCCTGCAGCATGAGAAATGCCTCGGGGGCCTTATTTACACCACTTCAGAAATCCTGTCTAATATCCTTCCTGCTCCGGGAGCTGAAAAGACATCTCCAACAGGGCTGCCAATCTACATCTGGGCCCCGTTCTTGCCATTTCTAAACATTAAAACCAAAATACAGATGGCGTCCTCTTCCAATCTGCCTGCGACAGTGAGGTTTAAAAGCAAACTGACATTTCAATTTCCTTTGATTTTCTACAAGTCCTTAACAAAATAATATGTGCAATTCTAAACATGAACACGTACAGTACAACAAATCCTCAAGCTATTTCAGAATCGCTGCATTTTCGTTTGAGGTCGATGTTTGTCCGTGGATCACCCAACCTGGGTTTCAGAGACCACGATGAGGAGCGCCGCACAATTTAATTTATTTATCCTGCAATCACACTGGAATTACAGACCTTCCACTGGCAGTAATTATCTCCAGCCCGCAGCCAACCCACTGCATGGATCTACCACGTAACGCCCTCTCCCATCTGGGAGACTTGTTTCACATGAAGCATTTCACGCTTTAGGTTCACCCTGACCCTGACCTACTCTCCCCAGTTTGTCTTCAGTAGCTCATTTTCACTCTTCTGACCTCAGTGAGCCACAGTATCTCTCAAAAAGGACATTATACTACAAAATAGCTACACCACAGTTATATAAAAGTTTCCAATTTCTCAACCACAACAGCCAAAGTTCAGCAAGGCCAGGAAAAGGCTCACTGCAAGTGTAAAAACTCATGGCATCTTCCTCCCTCCACCCCCTGTCTGCTGAAATCCTATTATCAGTTTGTATTTTCACTACTCTTGCCAGGCAGGATGAATCAGATCCAGTCGCCTACCTCCTACAGCATGAACAAGGCATTTCACAGGAGAGGCCACAACTTGGAGAGCTGCAGAACATTAAGTTTGGCTGCAGATCAAGTCAACTCCCACTCAGAAACCCAGCGTTGGATGCTACCGCAGATGTGCGGGCACTGCCTTCCTGCCTCCCTTGTAATTACACCCCGCGTCTCTCTGTAGAATCTTCCACGCTAGGAAAGCTTGAAGATGTGTTTAAACCAAGTATAGACACCCTCTCTTCCCCCCCCAGGAAAAAAAAAAAAACAAATCAAAAAACCTTCTTTCAGATTTCCTCAAATAACTCCATGCATTCTTGTGCACACAGTCAGGGAAATCAACATCCTGCCGGCCTCTTGGCTGGGCGGCTATAGGAGCCCCCAACACAGAGAGGTCTCCTCATTAAAGCTGGACAACCTGCACACTTGAAAAGTTTAACTTTAGATTATTACAAGTTAAAACAGAATGCAAAGAGTGAAGCAAGGAATCTAAAGAATAAAATCACTCCACATTCAGTGAGTACCCAGTGCAGTTTATGTGTGAATTAGTGTCAGGGTATTTGGAAGAGTCCCATCTTCACAGGCACGACTGATGCACGTGCACGAGGTGCCAAGAAGATGCCAATTAGCAGAAGGTGCTAAGTATTCCCAGCCATCTGGAAACCCCGTCTGCTGGAAACCCCGGTCTCTCCCCTCCCTGCCAACACCAGCAGCCACTAGCTGGTCTCCAAAAACCTCACTGTGGCTCGCTAATAAACACACGCATCCCTCCCAGATACATCCAGAACCTGAGTTAAGTCAGGGTCTACAAATGGGGGTCTCAGACCCTAGAGGCCCCAAACCTGCAGGAGTTCAGAGCTGCACATAACATACCCCCTCCAGCTGACCCTGTGTCTGGAGCCAAAGCCGGGCCCTGAACCAAACCTTCCCAGAGCAAACGGGGAGGACGTGCTGGTGGCAGCAGCCATGGCCCAACGTCAGCTGCCCCAGATTTCCTGTGCGGCGGAGGGGAACTCCACAAAGCCGTAATTTTCAAATCTAATTTTATACTCCTAAATCGAGCAAGGAAAAATGGTTCAGCTGAAAGCAGCATGTCGTTCCCGTGAGTCACAGTGACCTGGGGGACCACAGGTGGGTACTGCATTTAAAGATCCATTATAGACACTACACACCAAATGCCCTATGTCCTGTTGTTGGAGACCAAAGCTGTCCCCGGCATAGTTGAAATTCTCCCAGTGTGAAGAGGGCAGCGTCCAACCTCGTGATGCTGGAGCCTCTTCTGAACGCAAGCAGGCAGGAAGCCGAGGGACTCGTCTCTCATCTGAGTTTGCTGCCTCCCCTTTTTATAACAGAGGGGTTACATTTGTGTGTTTATGGGAGACAACGTCAAAATGTCATTCCAGTTCCCTGGTACCATCCACAAAACCCAAACTCCAATCTAGCCACTGGCTTTACACCCTCCATTCCTCTTAAAAACCACCGCTGCTTGCTGGGACAGCAACAGCTTCAGCTTAGCAGGTTTATCGAAATTCCCGTCGCTGCAGACAAAGTAAGGGGAAGAAGCACCACAGCCAACTGGCAACGAAGAATGCTTAAAGACAAAGAAAAGAACTCCCTTCCAGACAGACACCACTTCTTCATTAAACCTCCATCCAGGGCACTGCAGTATGGAGCATAATTAAATTCACTGTCAGTCACGGAACGTAATTAAATCTCACACTGGGGAATAACGCAGCACAGTTATTTCGGAAATAGCAATGCTCCGTCTCAAACGTATAATTTCCTGTATTCCACACTCAGGAGAAGCAGCAAACTTCTTTCCTTCTGCCATAGCAAGAGGCAAAATGGGAAACAACACCCAGTTGGCTGAGGGGGCTGCAGTGTGTCCCTCACCCAGGGTCTGCCTCTGCCAGGACACGCTGTGAGGTTTCACGGTGACAGAGACTCACTCCGGCAACAGATCAAGTCGGATCTCTGCAGTGACCTACCTCAGTGTCTCCGGGCACTGCCTGCCTGTTAGCAACACTAACACTTGCCTTGATCATCTCCTCCCGCGCCAGGAACGTGACTCACGCTGGAAGCTCCGGGGGAATTTGCCCAATTGAGTTTTCTTCCTCTCCTTTCCCCACGAGCGGGGCTTGCCTGTCCGCCGGGCAGGCAGAGGCTGGCTGTTCATCACAGCTGCGCAGGCTAAGCTGCAGGCTGGGGGTGCTCGGGCAGAGGACGCTGGGCCCCTGCGCTGCCTGAGGAGCTCCCCGACCTACCTGCAGGTCCCTTGGCAGCAGCCCTTCTCAGGGGCTCCGTGACACCCTTAAATACCTGTGCAGCTCTGCAGAACTCACTGATGGGACACCATTCCTCACCCAAGTGAGCAGCATTCCATCTTCAAGTCCTACATTTCACAGGAAAGCTTCTGCTGGGAAAGAGGAGACACTGCCACAGAGGCCACACGCTCCCTGTGTTATGCATTTGCAACCCAAGCTCACCTTACCACATCTACCTCCACATCAGTGCCAAGGGCTGGCAGCGAGCGAGGGAAGTCCCTCAAACCCCGCTCCAGAGCCCATCCTGGTGGCAGCCATCTGAAGAACCAGGAAGAGCTGGAGAGTCAAACCCAATTTCCACTCTTGATTTCAGCAGCTCTGCATCTCCACCCAAACCACCCGCCCTTCAAGCCATGTGTGACACCAGGGGACACTGCGAGGAGGAGTTGCAGGCCGAGCCATCACTGAACCCAAGCCATCTCTCTTGGCAGATTACCATCACACTGATCAACTGCTCCGCAATTAGGCGCATCCTCGTACCCCAGACAGCAGGTCCCTGCATCTTTGCAGAGATTGTTTACATTTACATAATGAAAGCACAAAACAAAACCTTCCAGTTCCGCCGTGTACCCGCAGCATGCCACAGGCCATTAATAAACTCTAGATGGGAGGAATTAAAAGTGACATCTCTAGAAAAAAATGTTACCCTAATTTACCATCAAAGAGCAATCCACAACAAAACCCAGCGCGGAACCACAACTGCGGATGCCGTTAACCCTTCTGGAGCTGGTTTGCTTGCCCAAGGGTCCTGTACAGTACAGTTTCCCCAGGAGGAGTGCTTCAGGCACTTTACTCATCATAATCAAAACCAAACCAAATAAACCAGTGAAAGATACCTCCTCTGAGCAATATCGTTCCAGCTGCAAGGCTGGACTGGATGTCTTAAAAAGCCTTTTTCCAGGATGCTCTTATTCCCACACACGTGCCTGAGGCTTCTCAGCAGACACGGCTGCAAAGCGGGAAGCGCAGCCCCAGATCCCCTTTTGGGCACTGTGTGCCATAGGTTAAAAAAACCAAGTCATCTGAACATTCCCAAAAGTGTCAGCCTCCCTGTCCATATCAAGGGCAAATGATGACACGGAGTCAGCCTTTGCCATGATTTGGCTGAGCATTATTTCCAGGGAAACGTGAGTCCTGCTACAATTCAAACCCCAAGGAACAAGTGTGAGTGAAATCCCAGATCCCCACAACTCCACTGTGAAGCTTCCTTCTGATGAAAAGCAGGTGCTGGCTCTGGCAGGCTCAGCTAGAGTCAGGGCTGCTTCACCTCTCTTGGCAGAAGATGGGGAGGGAGAAACAAGGAAACAATTGCTATAGAATACAAGCGTTGTGTAAGTTAGAATCTAAATTCAAAAAAGAGGAGGGAGGGAGAGACAAAGGAAAAAGCAAACACAAAGAAATAGTTCTGCTGAACAGATGAAATACCTTATCATCTTGTCCTGGCTGAGGATTGAATTACTACAAGATAAACATTTCAAACACTCTGTTTATGCCCTTGTTTGAATACTGGCTGGATTTGTCCTATGGGTCAAAATGAGATATACCATTCAGAGACCTAGGATAGTCCTAACATGCATCTCAAAACCAGGTTCAGAGTAAAATGCAAATGGGAGGGAGATTTTGAGATCCACTTTGAACTGAACTAACCAAAATATCCCAAATCTGCCTAATTTCTGGAGGCCAGAAGGACAGGAAAATGGATGATATCCAGTATCATATCAGCAAATCCAAGCCTGACCTTGCAATTTAATTTCTAGGTCAGATCTATAAACTAGAGGAAACGGGTCATAAAAATATCACACTAAATTTACTTTCCAGCTGGGCTAAGATAACCACTGACTCCAGAGCCCTTCTCCTGTGTGGAGAGGCGAGCACCCCAACGGGCTCGCGCTGCTCGCTAACTGCGGTTCTCCAGGCACACCCGACAAGAACAAGCGATAAAAATTAAGAAAAACCTAAGAGCCATAAAAGCAGGAGAAAGATTCACTGAGCCTGGCACAGTACCCCTGAGGGCAGCCATTAGCAGAAGAGAAGTGGAAGAAGAGGGCTAGTGCCACTACTGAGCAGGGTCAGGACGTGACCAGCTCCAGGGCTGTGATTCCCGAGCCCAAAGCGGCACCAGCAGTGGAGCTGGGCAGCTGCTGACAGGGAACACTCCATGTCCACCCCACTGCCTGGGGACTCAGGTTACATGTTTGGCTTTCAAAAACATGGTATGAGGCAACAAACGTAGGATTACCCATAATATTGCAAGTGTAATGTAATATATACAGTATTAATGATGATAAAAGTCCTTTCCGATGTCACCTTCTCTTTCTGCTGACCACCCATCGCTTACGTTAGCAGGCACAACCAGGTCCTCCTTCCCACTCACTTCCTACAAACTGCCTGGGACCTTTCGTGTTCTTACCACATCAAGCACTCCTCCCTCATTTTCAACAGAAGAGTCCTGGTCCACCTGACTATGAGATTCCTGCAAGTCTTTGGTGCTCATTTTTAATGTGGTTATCACTAATAATTCTGTGTCATCAGCAGACTTTGTCACCTAACTATTCACCCTTTTCTCCAAATAATTTATTCGGAACTCCACTGAAAACAACCACTCCTTATTCTTCAACAGCTTCTTTTATTTAAGAACTTCAGCAAGGGACCTTTTCCAAAGCCTGTAAAACACTGAAGGTACCGTGTCAACTTCTTCACATGATCACTGGCTCCCGGAAATACCTCCACTAGACTGATGACGTACGACTCCTCTAAGAAAGCCACGCTGACTCCTCTCTTGTATCTGCCTACGTGCCTGTCATTCTGTTCTTCTGAAGTTTCACCCAGCAAGTCTGTTTTCAAAGTCAGATCACTGCTCTGTTCTCTGAAGCCCTCCAGGAGTCTTTAAAAAAAGTCACCACGTTTTCCACCTTTCATTTCTCTGGCACTGACGCCAGTTGAAGCCTCAGGTCACACCTCACTGCAAGTCACTTGACAGTTTTAGATCTCAGTTTCTTTAAAATTCTTGGATAAATATTATCTGGAAGCTTCTAAGCGACAGTCCCTTATACAACATCTGCAACATCTAATGACAATTCAGTTGGGGTGCCTCAGGTTGGTAACACCACCACCCCCCCAAGAAAATCTCTAGTCTAAGCTTTTCCATAATGAGTACAAAGATAATGAGAAAATCATAATGAGATAATGAGAAAGTCTCCAATTTGCACAGAAGTCCACAATAAGCTTCTATTTTAGACTAAAATGCCAGGATGGATCCTAACTGATCAGAACTCTAATGGCTGCTTTGGTTACCTTTTTAAAGAGCCTGATGACATCCTCACTGATTTGTGACAGCCGGACGATGACATTGTTCATGAAGATGTCATTCAGGGTGGCGTGATCTCTGCTCTCTCGCCGGGTCTGCGTCAGAACCAGGTACCAGCAGTTCACCGGGGAAAGTAGGTGCTGATCTTTCCTAGGTAATTAGAAAAAAAATCAAAAAGGACAAATGAACAAGTCAAAAAGGGACGTCATTTTCAAATGAATGCTGTCAGCATATTAGCCTTGCCTTCCTCCACCACATACATCCCCTAGAACCTGCTGTGTCCCCAGAGAAATGCGTGTGAGCTCCTCTCGGCTGCCTCCCTGCCCCAGAAAATGCTGCAGCACCCAGACAAGCACCCAGCGGTGCCGGCTGTCTATAGCCAGTGGGACGGCGGGAAGATGCTTGATTAGAGCTTAACTAATTTTGTCATGTTCCACCTCAACACTGAGAGAAACCTGCACTGCTCTCCGTGTGCTGCTTTTAGTGCTGAAGGCAAGTTAATAAAAAGTGAATAAAAATTTCCAGAAGCGATACAACTGGAACAAGACCCTTCACATTGTCCAACTGAGACACTTTGAGACAGATCCTCTAAGTGAGGCAGCCAAGTGATTTGTTCCAAATGTTTCACCTACACTGTTTTCTCTGGTCAAACCAACACTTTCCTACGAGACACGCTGGCTCCAGAGAAATGGCCCTTTTTGGCAGAGACCTCTCTCACCACCACCCTGCCTGGGCAGGTCTCCCCGTGTGCCCACAGCCGTGGTCAAGCCGCAGAGGCTTCTCCTCCACAGCACCCAAAGACACGCGCAAGCTGCCCAGGGAACACTCGGACGTTTTATAGAGGTGGAGAATCACTGTCACGTGTCGATGCTGCACAACACAGAGCTTCCTTCCAGCATGGGAAGTACAACAAGCAATGGAGAGCCATGACACGGCTCTCAGGTGACGGGATAAGCACACACATGCAATGAGCCTTCCTGGACTCCATCCCTGGAACAAGAGCACCTTCCCAAGCCCGTGCTGGCCAGTTCTTTCTCAGGCACAGCTATCCCTGATGCACGACACAGCAATGCCAGCCCGGCACCACACAACTGACAAGCAACCGTCAGCTGCAAAAAAACAGAGAGCATTTGAATGGCAATTCATTTTCAGCAGACTTCTGCATAAGACAGCAGTAAAGCCTTGCTCACTAGAGAGACTGAGTAAACAGATTAAATGGGATTTAGAAATATGGAATAAATAGGATTTACTAATGTAACTGCAGAAATTGCTGCTCTTGCAGCTGAAATGGGGAAAAAAAAAAAAAAAAAAACAACACAATCTCCGTTTTCTGGGAAAGGAGCTAAACTGGCTGTAGTCTTTGGTCATTGAACTGAATGACATTAACTTCAACTTGAGCAAAGGGCATAATCCCAGCTGAGAGAATATTTCACGGACACAGCTGTCAGAAGAAGGGAGAGACACAAATGCAATGGCCAGGGGAGGCAAAGGTGGGGAATTTCAGCTGACATGCTGGATGGGAAGCAGCCAGGACGAGCATCTGCCTCCGTGCTGCAGGACCTGCTGCATGGCCCCCGGGTCACAGACCCTGCTGGCCACAGCTCGGTGGCACCGCTCGTGCTGCCCAGCAAGACCCCTGCCCTGAGAAACTGCCAGGGAGAGTCAGTGGTGGAAGGGAACACGAGCAGCAGCACGGAGGGAAAGCCTTCCAGCTACCAACACAAACGTGCGGACACGTCCCACAGAGCCCGGCCTGATGCCTCCCGGAGAGCAGGGACCAGCTCCAACAGCGATGGGACGGTGCCGCTCACAGGGGCCTCGAAGCCACGGCCACCAACCAGCCAGCACAACGGCAAAAGCTGCGTATCCTCACCACAAAACACAGCCAGCTCCAGACTCCAGCTCTGCCTCGAGTTTGTTTGTGGGTTGGTTTATTTTTATCTGTTTTGTTTCAGCCAAGCTTGAGAGTACAGTTAAACTGGAGAGAGGCTGCTCTTGGAAACTTGCACATATTCACACAGTCACAGATTTTACAATTTTCATCATCAGTTTGAGTTTCACACAATTCCAGCATCCAGTTCATACTTCCTGTTTCAAAGCTTTGTTTCAAAATATTTCCACTGTGGATTTGCTCAGCTTCAACACTGTCTGAGTGTGTACACAGAAAACATACACACTTCATTTCAGAAAACTGCAATAAAATAGACTTCCAGAAACTGCTTCCAAGTCTGAGCCTGTAAGCAGGTCTGTGTGCAATGTGAAGCACTCTGGCATCTAAGGATTGGGCTACTTACAGAAACCAGGGTTTATAAAATGGGCCTACTGCTATTTGCACAGTAAGTCTAATTTGGGCTGCACAGGTCAGTAATGCTGTGGTGAAAGTGTTGGGAAAAGACATTTCTAGTTGTTTTTGTGAGCCTGCACAAGGTCACACCGATGGCATTTAGCTCACTCCACTTTCAGACTGCGCAGCTACAAACATCTAGTGTTTGAGCCAGTCCCTGGCCCACCATCCTGCACCGTTTTGCCCCTGGAAACGCCTGCTTACTTGAACTGGTGCTCTCTGGAGCTGCGTATCTTGGAGGAGAAGCGTTCAGCCAGTTTCTCCAGGCTCCTGGAGTACTCCAGCTCGATCTCAGCCTTCCTGCGGAAGAACTCCTGCAGGTCCTGCAGCAGCTGCAGGCGGGACTCCGACTGCTGCTCCAGGCATTTGAACTGCTCGACCAGCTGAGTCCGGATTTCTGCATGCACACAAGAGAGGAGAAGAAGATACGTCAGCAACAAACATTGCCCAGGAGGGTTGTCTCTCCTTGTCTTGGAGCAAACTGCTCAGGCACTGCTAGAGCAGGCTCCCTCCTGAGCCTCGGGTTTAATTCAAGGTTTGCTAAAGCCAACAGATTTCTTTTTGGTTGTTTTTCCAAGTGAGAACTGAAAAATTTAATTCACTGGTCTCATATTAAAACCCTGTTCTTTGTCAAAATAAACAGCTGTGTAAGGACACAGAGACCAACCCTTGGAGCTTTTCAATTGTCTTTTTGAAACTAGAAAACGATACTTCAGTTTATCTAGTACTACCTGAACTCCTGTATTCTTTGCATATAAACTAACATCATATTTCTTGATAAATGATCATCTGGACACCGACTGAACGGCTGACAGTGACCTGAAGGAAGCTGGCACTGTCAGTGCCCTCTCCTCACCCACCTCCCCGCAGGCTCCAGAGCACTCCTGCCCAACCCAACCGCACCGGCCTGGCGGGCAGAGGAGGAAGCAGCTCCCGGGGGATTCCTCGGGCTGCCGGAGATGCAGCGGGAACCCCGGGCACAGCCAGCCGGGCCACGGGCACCTCCGGCGAGAGGCGCAGAGCCCTCGCCCGCCCTCCCGCACTGCCGCAGTGCTCGGCCGCACACAAGGACTCCCAGGAGGGGACTGCAAACACCAGCTCCTGGTCACCTTCTGCCTGGATTTTCTGCAACAGCAGGAGCTGCAGTTTCTTAGATTTCTGGTGCAGCAGCATGCTGAACTGTCACTGCCGACATGACAGGAGGGCTCAGCCTGCGCTAAGAAGGAAGTCCTGAAATTGGTAAAGCTCTCTGGCAAGAGAACTAGACCTCATCCTTGGTTCCTTCTGCAAATTCAGCACGGTAAGATGACAAACAGTAACTTACCCACAAGAGCCACCGCAAACTGAAAATACCTGTCCTGCCTGAGCACACGTGCTGGAAATCACTGCTTCTTAACTGGGAAGCTCAATGACGTGAATCGGGATAATACAGCGGTGTCATTCCAATGTCTGAAATAATCTTGAGTATGCATACATAGATACACACATATGTGTGTGTGCGTATATATATAAATATACATTAAAAACATACACACATGCAGGGCAGGTCAGCCCTACTGGTCCCCTGCCAGCATCAGGTTGTCCCACAGCTTCACAGCTACAGCCTCGTCCAACCCAATCATTACTGGATGCTGAAGTGATAAATTATGAAGTAATGATCACGCAAAGCACTGACTGAAATAAGATTGACAGACAATTTCAAGCTCTTTAAATTTGTGAGGATCTCGCATGGAGGAGGTTAAAATTTCAATTATAAGAATCTGATACTTTTCAACATTTCTTTGTAGAACAACTATCATGTGAGACTGAGACACTCGCAGCCTGACAGGTGAACTCGGAGAGCTGCAGGAACAAGGACACCTGCAGCAATCTCATTACTGGGTAATTTAACGATGGCAGTAATGGGACTGGAGGCTGCAGGCTGTGTGAAGGTCACCTAAAAACCAAGAGCTCCCTGGAAATAATGAATGCTGAAAGCTCCAAAGGTTAATCAGTCACCTTATGTGGGCTCCTCCACGGCACTGCTTTTACACCACTTCCTTTATGTTCTCGATACTTCATGAGAGGGCAGCGCAATTGTTCATAAAAATGCACCCGAGGCTCATGCAAAGTCTTGGTGAGGGACTTGCCGCGCTGCGTTCGGCCACACGCGAAGCAATTTCCATTCCTGAAGTCTGGATAATCATGTAAGCATCCCTGTGGTAACCGAAGCACTAACTCATTCCTGACCCACATCCATCCCACGTGCAGACACGAGGACACCAAGCATGGGAGGTAGAAGGGCAGAGGAGGAAGGGTGACACACGGCCGGGATGCTCAGCACAGAAATGTCACCCCTCATCCACAGCTGAGCTGCACAGCACCCTGAAATTAAACAAAATCCGACTACATACACAATGCCAGAAATATCCTTTAAAAAAAAAAAAATATGGCTGCTAAAAGAATGAAGAAGAAGAAGAAATTAAATTCTCATTGCAAATGAGGTTTCAAAATGACTGGTGTCAGAGGGTCCGGGTCTTTACTCTGGCAACATCATCAGCAGTATCCTGTCCCTGTGGCACCCAGCATGATGCCGAAACCCAGGGCTGTGCACCCCACCAACAACGCTGCTCCTCCATCCCCTCTTCTTCACATCCACACTCATACACAGAAAATAGAATCGCTCCCCTTGCAACGGCACTTTCTGCAGGGAGAGGGGGGGATGCTTTAATGCCACACAGCAATATTGACCCTGGGTTTACTACAGAGATGTATGGCAATGCCTGGAGAAGCCGAGTGGGCTTCCAGAAAGCAGTGCTTGGTCATCACACCCAAAAGCTGGTCAGTCCTTGACTGCTGGGACTCCAGCATTTGCTGAAAAATAGCCCAGGCTGTACAGAAAGGTCAGGCGCACGCAGCACTGCAGCTTTGATTTCATCAGGAAGACTGTTCCTCAGGGGCTCTGCGTTGTGCAAGAGCTGTGATGCCTCCTGGGATTGACAGGAGACCACCACCTACACAGCCACGGCTTCCGGCAGCTCCCTCGCCTCCCACCCAGCGGAGCCAGGGAGCGGGATGGCAGGCTGGGCTGTCACCTGGGTTGTCACCTGGGCTGTCACCCAGCCAGCCGGTGGGAACACCTTCCCGGGGTACCCATGCCTGCCAGGTGACAGCGCTGCTCCAGACACAGCCCCTCCAAAGGCAAAGCACTGTCCCCATCACACAGCTTCCGAGGTCAACGATGGCATCCACCGGAGCCGAGGGGGGCAAAGAGTAACCGCCTTTGAATTAAGCCTCCTAAAAACCCACTGCTACGGCCCTACAGGACACAAACATACCAGTTTCATAAGAAAACGTTTTTAAAACCTCCACATTCCCCTGCCAAGAAGAGTTTCCTTCCCACACAAGGTCAGTGGAAATTTCATTACATCCCATATGGATTTTACATCCCCGTTCCTGCTGGTGCCAACACAGGACTTGCTTTACAGCTCTCTGCTTTCCTGAGCAAGTTTGATACAGATTTAAAAAAAAAAAATCCACAGATTTGATCTCTAGTTCTCTTTTCATAGTGGATTACAACCCGAGGTGGTCTCCACAACAGTTCTTAACAACCCTGACAATGCACAGAAATGCAAGAAATATCAATAGTGCTTCTCCAATCTTTTCTGTTTCCTACCTCTTCCTATTTTTTTCCAGATCTGAGCTACTGCTGCTCATTCGATCTCTGTATCTGGCAGAAAGATTTCTCCTTGATTCTCACAAGGGACAGTCAAGGCAGATCAGACGACACCAACAAATGCAGAAACCCACCAAGGCTCCCAGAGCTTTC